TAGAACAAATACATGACATGGAGATGACTTGTTGACTCCACATTGCCCATCTCTGGATGACATGATGTGAATTGGAGCTCTAGAAATTAACTAAACTGAATTCTCTGATTAATGTAGACCTACATGTTGGTCAGGTCTATGGTCAGTCCATTGTCTCTCTATGTTCAGTTGATGGACTGAAGAAAGCTCTGGGAGATGTGCAGGAGCCTAACCCTGCTTTAAACTGGCTTTTATTTCGGGGTATCAGAGTAGAGGGCCTGAACAGAAATGCATCTTTAGGTTTGGAGCAGGTTCTGGGTGATAACTGCGACCTTCTCCTGTTTCAGCATCACCATGGGGCAGTTGTACGACAACGAGAAGGACCAGGACGGCTTTTTATACGTGGCATACAGCGGAGAGAACACCTTCGGCTCTTAGGGACCCGTCTCCGCCCTGCTGGCTCTTAGGGACCCGTCTCCGCCCTGCTGGCTCTTAGGGACCCGTCTCCGCCCTGTCGGCTGTGATCCGGTTGGATGAGACTGTCAGCGATGGTCCTCCACCTTTCTGCAGATTTACGTTCAAAGTGTGACTTTTCCAGGAACTTTGGTTTCATGTTTTTTCATGATTTTAGAAGGACCCAGTTTGATTCTTCTTCTTGCTTTTTTAAATTAAGTCTGTGAATGAGTTTATTTTAATGCTTTTGTTTTTCTTTGAAGACAATATTTTATTTTAATCTAAAGAAATGTAATTTAATAATCTGAGGGTGAGGTAGCTGGATGACCTAACCAATAAAAGATGGAAAACAAGCCAGATCTAATGTGTTTTATTAAGGACTTTAGTTTAAATGTACATCAACAGAATCAATCACCTCTGTCAGCATCAAACCCTAAAATGTTTTTAAAGCACTCTCCCTGCTGACTCAGAGACAGAGGCAAAAAAGCTCCAGCTGTGACTAGAAGAGTTCATCAGGACTTGGAAGCAGAGTCGTAGTTTAACACACCTGTCTGCAGCTTCTCTACTGTTACTAATAAATTAGCAAATATTCCCAATAAGAGTAAATTATGATAATCTAATTAAAATTAAGATAACTTCAATTGGGGAAAAGTTAAAACGATTAAATATGGTCTGTTTAACATAAGATCTCTTTCCTCTAAAAGTCTGCTAGTTAATGACTTGATTTGTGATAATCACATTGA